AATTATATGAAAAACTTCTAGTAGGAAAGTAATAAAAATATAAATGAGGCTCAAGATACATTAAAAAAATTATAGAATCGAAATATAGAAACACAGAAGGAAATTTAAAAGAGGATTAGTATAACATTTTATCAAACAATGCACCATCTTCACCAAGTCTCAGATAGGACAGTTTCAGTATCTACATTTATAGGAGTTTGAAATTTTATTAAATATACTCTCATCTTAGAAACATTTGGATTTCTTCAACAGAATAACTTCATATTTAGAATGTGTTCTTATTAAGTAAAAATAAATCCCACACATTGTTTTTGGTTAAGTATCATGTCACTATAAACAAACAAAAAACTCTTGGTACATTATGAACCACATATATTAAGGGGATATGATATGATGCAAAGGATAATATTAGGAAATATTTAATAAATATAAGAAAATATATGAGTACATGAAAAACTAAAGAAGTGAAGATTCATCTTTTTTTCCTGATTCTTTTCCATACTAAAAGAAAACCATAATGTATTTATTTATAGAAAAGCAATATTAATTTTAATAATGAAATATGTGAGTCTATAAGGAGAAAATAGGGTGATGGGTGAGAAATTGGAACATCAGAAGAAACCAGTGCATAATATCTAATCATAAAAATAAGGACATTTTAAAAATTTAATCTAGGAATAAAAAAGAGTATCTTTACAGAGCTTATACGGGACAAAACTATTAATAGAGCCCCGAGGGAGTGATTAAAAAGTTGTTAAAACTTAATGTTCAGGTCTCACACTGGTAAAAATTGGCAGTATACTGGAGTAAGGTAGGGTAAAGTAAGAGTGTAGGGTGCTATACAGGAAATTTCAAGATTGTCATATTAAGTTTTAGATGGCCACAGAACATACAGGAAGGTGTCACAGGTAGGAGTATATATAGTAAATTGAGCAAAGCAGCATGTGTTATGGTTGGAGATACCCATGAATTTGGAATTTTTAATTTGGTAATTGAAGATTTGAGAAAGGATAAAAACTAGTTGAAAGAAAGTTGAAAAGAACATGAAAGGGTAATACATAGTAAATATATTCTATAGAGTGAGTGAAACAGAAATCAATGGGAAAATTGTTGATATTAACTGGAAAGAGAAAATAAATCATTTTATTGTGAGCAGATACCTGATAGATATATAACTCAAAAACGAATAAGAAGATATATTGAGTTTTCCAGTGCAAAGAATATAAAGATGTGGTAAAACAAAATAGTGGCAATTAGGGAGATCTTAAGTAGGTACATCTAAGGAGAGAGAGAGCTTGACAGTGTGCAAAAAATTTGGGCCAGTTAATTTCATAAGGGCTACAGCTACCTTATGAGAGAGTTTTAAATGACAACAAAGAGCTGAAAGTAGGTAAGAGATCAAGATAAGAAGGCAATAACTGAAAGCCTAGGTACTTCTTCAAATTGCCTCTTCAGAGACCATAGATATAAAGAAGATAACAATGTTTGGAAAGAAAAGACATGCTTTGTAGCTGCAAATTCAAGGAAGACTGACAAGGGAAAAAGATGAGAATGATAGAAAAAGAAGAAGCTATATGTTTAAGTAGAGATGTCATGAAAAGGTAAATTACTTAATTTCTGAAATTGAAAAGTGTTGAGAACTTTTCTTAAATCTATTCTCTGTGATAGTGTCATTACTACATCCCTGTTTATTCACAGCATTAACATGTTTATATTTTCAAGATAATGAAAACTCCCTTCTTTGCCATGCCACACTGTCATAGATATACAAAGATAAATCGGTGTATCAAAACCAGTTTTATGCATGCCTTGTCCTTTACCTACGTCACCACTTTCTCTATTACATTTCTGCTTTCTCCTTTCTTTACATGTTCAGCTCTCCATCATATCCATTAACCTTGGCTCAGTTTTTTCTTGATTTCAAGCCCTGTTATTACTTTAATTACCTTTGGAGACTCTAATAACTAATTGGATTACCAGTCAGAAAGCCTTCCCTTTCAATCTCTTCACAATCTCATTTGAAGTGACCCTCTTTTCACTACTTTAGTAACCCATGCCCACAGTCAAAATATAGGTCATAATTGCAAAAGCTCCTACCACCATTTTACTTTCTTCTAATCCATCACCTCTCTATTTTCTTCATTTCCCTGATACCTGATTGGATATCCCATGGTCTGTCATTTCAGGAACACATCCTCGCTAATATCCTAAACTCTTTCTCCTCTGAATTTTGATTGCATTGCATAACAAAACATCAACTTCCTATAAATTCCAATATTTGATTTTTCTGTGATTCATCCAAGGACCTAATAGAGAAAATTCACATGAAAAATGCAGATTATCACCAATTTCAAATGTTCTCTCACCACACTGCCCAGAAGTGTTATAAAGTCCATACATTCAATTTACTCTACCACTGCCCACCGTGACTATTTCAAGCCTTCTTGAAATTTGTTAAACATTTGCTACGCTTCTGTATTTGTTACAAGTGTTTTCAGTCTATTTTCCTTATTTTCCGGTTGCTGGACATTAGTTTTTTTAATTATTTTTTTGGTTTTATTAATAAAGCTGCTATCATCATTGCTTTACATGAGTTTTTGTAACAGATATTCAGTTCTCCTGGGTATACTTGGTAGTGGAAATAGCTGGTTCATAGATTCTATTAAACTTATATGAAACAACCAAACACATTCTAAAAATGGTTGTACATTTAGAGAAGTGAAAATCTCTTCTACTTCTAGTTGCTACATATTCCTGCAAAAATATTTTTTGCCACATTAGTGCATGAAGTGGTATGTCACTGTTTAAATATATATGACTGATGGCTGGCTGCAGCAATCCATCTGGAGTTGCCACTGCAAAGACACTGGCTGCAGTGCTGGAGGCATGGCCAGGGTTGCATGCTCCACCAGCCAACAGGAACCAGGAACTGGTGGTGGGTGGGGAGCCCATGCTCCTGGGCACAGCTACAGCCACTGAGCTGCAGCTCTGGACCTGGGCATCCCTGTGTTCTCAGGGTCCCAGGAAGCCCTTGCCCCTATAGGCTGGAAAGTACCTTATCCTATTGTCTGGCGTCTCCCCACTCCTGGCACCTGCTCTGGTGCAGAGCAAAGTTTTGGCTGAGCCGGGCACTGTCATGACCCGGCAAGGTGTGCACACGCTCAGGGTGATGTTGACATATCAGCCCCCTGCTGCCTTGGCCCACTCCAAACTTTCTGCTCCAACAGGAGGGAGGTCACAGGGGGCTGAGTGATACTCATCATGGGCCTGCAGGCACCCCTCAGCGCAAACAGCCTGGGCACGATGATCAGTGTGTTGATGGTGGGAGACAGATAGGTTCCTGGATGGAAGGGGCGAGTCCGGTGGCAATTGCCACCTTCACCCAGGGATGGCCTGAAGATTGACAGCCAGGCTGGCAGTTAACAGGTGTAGTCTACACCCAGAGTAAGAACTTATGGTGTTTTTCTAGGTCTGCCCATAGCTATCCATGGACCAGGCAGCATGCACTTCCTCCCTATGTTTCCCAGGCTAGTCTTAAACTCATGGGCTCAAGCAATCCTCTTGACTGGGCTTCCCAAAGTGCTAAGATTACATGCATCAGCCATTGTACCCAGCCTATTTAGACGTTTTTACATCCTTGCAAATGGTTAAAATCAGTAAATATTACTTGTGCATGTTGAAATAATGGTATCCTCACTTATGTAGTATAAACCTGGACAACTGAATTAGATCAATTCAATGAATGTTATTTTAATTTTGTACAAGTAACTGATTTTTTTGTTGGTTTTCTGAATTACTGAAGAGTGATATTTTTAAATATGCAATTAGGAGTTTAGATGGGCTTCTTTATCTCTTGTATCTCTCATATTTAGTTAGAAATTCTCTACTAGGTTATAAATTTACACTATTTATTTATTTATTTATTTATTTATTTTTTTGAGACAGGCTCTTCCTCAGTTGCTTATGCTGGAATGCAGTGACACTATTACAGCTCACTGCAGTATTAAACTCCTAGACTTAAGCCATCCTTCTGTGTCAGTCTCTCTTGAGTAGTTCCTCCATACTCATTTTTTTTCGTAATTTTGTGTAGAGCTGGGATATTGCTATGTTGCCCAGGCCCATTTCAAAAGCCTGGCCTCAAGCAATCCTTCCACCTTGGCCTCCCAAAGTTCTAGGATTAACAGATGAACCACTATGTCCAGCATGACACTTTTATTTTTAAAAATTTATCTTCTTTGTTTCTCTTAGTTTTCCTTGCCTTCATCACTATTTTGATATTACTATCAGATATACAATGAACTCTATATTGTCAATGTTTGCTCAGTATATAGTTTTATGATCACTTCTTTTTAAAATCCCATGTGTCTTTAAAATTAAAGTGAGCCTTTTAAAAGCACCTTATAGTAGGAAATTTCTTTGTTTTATTTTGCCAGAAAATTTTCCCTTTTTATTAAGTTGATAAGTTATTTAAAAAAATATTTATAACTTTGTGTTTAAGACTCCTATCTTGCCAAAGAATCCAGAAAAACAATAAAAAAGAATGAGCTCATTTACTATGTTACCTCCAATTCTCATATATGGTGGAATTACCAAAATATAAAGTAATTTAGCCCTCTTTCATCATGAATTGTCTCATTGATTGCCTCTCCTTAGGTGAATAATTATTTTTTCTATTTGTTTTTTAATTAAAAGTGCCTAAAATAATTATAATTTCCATTCTCTAGGTAAAAAAATAGGAACAAAAAGCGAAGGAACTAAGACCAGAATGTTATATTTCTTTCATTAATTTAAGATAAGTTTGTTTAAACAATCTTAGAGCTAGAGCTATGTTAAATCTTTTCAACAAATTCATTTTATTCCTCTTTGATAAATTTTCTCCTTTTTTTTTTTTTTTTTTGAGACGATATTTCACTCTTGTTGCCCAGACTGGAGGGCAATGGTGCAATCTCAGCTCACTGCAACCTCCTCCTCCTTGGTTCAAGCGATTCTCCTGCCTCAGCCTCAGATGTTAACATCCAGATAATGATGTGTATTACGGTAGGAGTTTATTCTATTGGCATATATCTCTGACATGATAAACTAGAGATGAAAGCTTCACTTTTGTTATTTAAGTGTATGAAGAAGATATTCTAACATTCTGAATTATAAATAATAACAGTAAAACATGTTTTTAATTCATAAAAAAGACTGGCATAGAAAATACAAATATTCCAAATATGTGAAAAAATCAATGTTTTTGCATTGTAATTGATGATATCTAATATCATCCTGACAAATTTAAGAAATTGCCAGCTATTGATGAAAACTTAGTATTACTCATACATAGCTATTAAGAATGATAGTTTCCATAGTTTGGGAAGGATGTGTGTGAGAGTGGGATGAAAAGAGACTGGTTAATATGCATGAACATAGATAGAAGAAATAAATTCTAATAGTTTGACAGCAGAGTAGGGTAACTGTATTTAAAAACAATGCATTTTACAAAATAGCTAGAAAAGAGGACTTGAGATGTACCTAACACATCAAAACGGTAAATACTCAACATGACAGATACTCAAAATACCCTGACTTGATCATCACACATTCTACACATGTATCAAAATATCACATGCACCCCTCAAATATGTACAAATATTATCTATCTATAAAAAATTAAAAATTGTGTTGAATATAGATCTCATGTTAAATGTTTTTAATAGCATTAATAAATCAATAAAACAGATGCATTTGAAAGTGGGGCTTTGAGAAAAGTAACCTAGGTTTACTCCTAGATTTGCCAGTGACTAGGCATGTGACCTTAGGCATGCTTTTCAGCTTCTCTGAAATTGATTTTTCTAATCTATAAAATGGGGCCAGAAAGTCCTACATCACAGAGCTGTTGTGAGGACTCAATTAATTTGAATAGGTTTACAGGGCCAGGTGTGGTGGCTCACTACTGTAATTCCAGCACTTTGAGAGTCCAAAGTGAGAGGATCACAAGGTCAGGAGATAGAGATCATCCTGGCCAACATGGAAAAGCCCTGTCTCTACTAAAAAGACACAAAAATTAGCTGGGTGTGGTGGCGTGCACCTGTATTCACAGCTACTCAGGAGGTGAGGCAGAAGAATCTCTTGAACGCGAGAGGTGGAGGTTGCAGTGAGCTGAGATCACACCACTGCACTCCAGTTTGGTAACAGAGTGAGACTCGGTCTCCAAAAACAACAAACAAACAAACAAACAAAAAATAGGTGTACAGGTAACCAACCACTTAGTAAATGCTAGGTATTAATTTTTAACAAAACATATACTAGATGATTTCTTACAAGAAGAATGCAGCATAAGTTTTAAAAATGTAACTACCTGAATAGATTTGTTTAAAAATGACATTATAAAGTACATTTACATGGAAACATCTTCAGCATCACTGTTTATTTATTGATCTATTTCTAATCAACCCACTTTTGCAGCACACAAAATGTGATGAGCACTTGCTTCATGCTGGACGTGTCATATTAAGAAATTCATAGTTCTTGCCTAAATAATCTCACATATATTAGAGAAGATAAGCAGATTAACACCTCATCCAACACAGAGTGATAAAGGCGTTTAACAGCACTACACACAGAATGCTCTAGGACCTATGCCAGTAGCTGAGCCTGGTAAAGCTTTAAAGTCCTGTTTGAGGTAGTGATTGCTAGAAATACTAATACAAGAAACAAAAAATTCAGAAGAAAAAAGTGTCTGCAGAAAGTAAACTAAGATGTTAAAAGCTTCAGGAAACTAGAAGTTGAAATAAATAAGAAAAGAAGGGTGAGATACAATGCTAAAATGCAGGAAGAGGCAGGCTAAAAACAGGCTCTACTGTGTTATTTTAAAATTCAACTTTGTCTTGTGAATAATGAAAAATCGTCATGTTTGAAGTATAGTTTGTACATATTTTTGAGATATCAGTTCATGTCTAAGAATAATACATTTGAGTGGGAACAATTTAGAAATGAATGCTTCTTCACTCCTATATCTGCCACCTGCACTGGGATGGCTGGAATAACTGAGAGATTCCAGGCATCTCTCTTTCTATGTAAATCGTCTCCACATGCCAACTTAAGCTTACTCACAGCATGGTACTCAGAATTCTTACATGAAACTACATTCCTCCAGAGGGAGTATTTTAATAGATACAAAAGTGGAGATATCTATTAAATCTGGTGCCTAGAGACTGACATATTCTCACTTCTCCCACATACTGTTGGTCAAAGCAGATACCAAACCTACCCAGATGCAAAGGAAAGGATCATTGTCCCAAGGTTTTATAGAAAACATGACAAATAATTTTGTGGCCAACTTTAATTCATTACTAATATTACAATTACTAATTTATTGGTTGAGAATTGATTAAAAAGAAATGATAGAAGACCAGGGCAATTGTCAGGTTTCCAGCTCCTGAAACACTGAAAGGAAAAATGGTTTGAAAAAAAACAAATGAATTTTACCTGGATAACTGTTAACCAGGTAGAGATACACAATAGTTAAATCTGAATTGGGGGTTCAGAAATTTGTATGTAATTCTGATTAGATATTTCAGGCAGAAAACCAACAAATAAATATTGGAGTTAAACTGCTTTCTAGATTAAATAGAACTAACAGACATTTACAGAACATTCCATTCAATAGCTGCAGAGTACACATTATTCTCCTCAACACATGGAACATTCCCCAAAATAGACTATATTTTAGGCCCCAAAACAAGTCTTAAATTCAAAAAATGTATACATCAAGTATCTTTTATGACCATAATGCAATAAAACTGGAGTTAGTCCTTAGAGTTATTCATCTATACATTATACAGATGGCAATTGAAGATCTAGCAGCAAAAGCAAACATTCAAGGAAATGAGAGAGACCAAGAAGATTAGGGACCCCAGGAAGAAATGGTGGGAGAAACAACCTCATTCATATGGGCAGGGCAAGAAAGGCCAATGATAAATACTAAAATAAATGTGATCTAATGTGTAGGTAGAAAGGGAAGAGATTTTGTTATCATAAAACCTAAAAGAACAGCAGAATCCTTTATTAAGGAAGGCATTCAACTACAGCTTGTGCTGCTGAGAGAACAACTAACCAGCTTATTCTTGTGGTTTACATTATACAATTCTAAAGCAAAATTACTGTTTTTATTTGAATTTAGCAAGGACATCATAAGTAGTTACCTGAGGGAAGAAATCAGATCACAATGAGTTTAGGCAAGAATAAAATGTGAAAAAAGGTAGTTATAGGTGAAATTCTCAAGAATGAGCACTATTGTTAAGGATAGCAAAGAATATTATGTAGACTGAATATTCAGATATCACGTAAAAACTTAAAAGATACATAAAGCTCAATACATTCTTACAAAGTCAGCACTTATGTAACCTCCACCCAGATAAGAAAACCAGCAGAAGCTAGGTGCCTCCCACCCACCCCTTGCTCTATTTCAGTCATATCTTTCCCCTAGAAATAGCTACAATTCTGACTTCTAACATCACAGACTAGTTTGACTGCTTGAATTTATTTAAGTGGAATTATATGGGAAATAGTCTTTAGCATCTGGCCTCTTTTGCACACTATTATATTTGTGAGATTCATTCATTTTGTTGCATATATTAAATTGCATTTATTATCTTTGCTATGTAACATAAACCAGAGTATTTTGAAGAAAGAAAATTTCCTTCATGTTGTAAAATTACAATAAAAAATCTAGTGCAACTTTACATAGTAAAAAATAACTGCTATATAAAATATAAAAATGTCTGTCATGTAGAATATTTAGTGAATAAAAACTAGAATATCTGGTAATAGTTCTACATAAATATGAAAAGTTGATATATGACAGAGGTGGCATTGCAAACCAATGAAAATTAATTAAGTATTCAATATGTGATGCTAAAAAATTGGTTTTCCATATGGAAGCAAAATAAAATTAGACTCGTACATACATGCAAAAATGCTTCAGTAGCTCAAATACTTTATAATATGAGAAGTAGCATTCTAAAATATTAGACAAAGATATACAACAGTTTATAATAAGCAATAATTGCTTAATGAAACATAGATAATAAAATACTAATAAATTTACATTAAATTTTTAAGATAATACAAAAAAGAATTAAATAATGCATTTACAGTATATTACACAATGAAAGTTAATATTTAGAAAACATTCAGACCACATGGATAATATAAAATTAGAAAAAAGAAAGCAAAGAAAAATACATAATATGAAAATAATGATTGTCAAGGGTTAGTTGAGAGGCAAATGAACATTTGAAGATATATTCATCCTTTCTGGTGGTCTTTGAAATACACACAATATTCTAACCCTTCAAATTGACATAATTTAAAAGTTTTGCCAATGCCAAAGTGTTTAAACGATGTGGAAAGTAGGAACTATCATATGCTAATATGAGGGATAAAAGTTTACAAACTCTTTGGAAAGTAATTTGCTATCATTGAGTATATTTGCAAGACAGTCATTCCACTCATACTTCTCTGAAGGGTGTATCCTTCAGAAAGTCTAGAAATAACCACATGGACTCATGTTCAACACTGTTTATTACAGTATTATTTTCAATGACAAATAACAAAACATGTACTGTGTGTGTATATATATACATATATATATATATATATATACACATATATATACATAAAATATCCTTTCATTGTAAATGAGTTTATACATTGATAGCATCTTTGCTCATACGCTGTTGAAATAAACTAGGGATTCTTTAAATAATCTGAAATTAAAATTAATAATTATAAAATAATGTTGAGTCAAAAGTCAAAGGATATTTCCATGTTAATGTAAAGTTTGGAAAGCATGAAGTTATTTCAAATCATTTTTACAGATATATAGAGCACTTATAGATACATAGAATAAGATATGTAGAATGAGCATAGTTGTTAAAAACATTAAATTCAGATACAGCTTGCCTCTGGTGGAGGAAGCATGCAAAAGACACTAGAAGTGTGCTGTCTGAGGGTCTTTACTAATAAACTATTTCATTTATTTAATTTTAACTATGGTAAGTATGGAAAATAATGGCATTTGATAGAACTAGTTAGTAGATATATCTTTTTGCGGTTTTTCATTATTTTCCTTTTATATATTTCTATGTGACAAAATATTTACAATACAATCATTTTTACAATTTTTCTGTTTTGTTTGTTTTTTAATGATAGATATCGTGCATGTTGAAATACTGATTGGAATAAACCAGAAGAAAGATTGAAGATGTTTTAAGAAGATGCGCTATTAGGGACATGATTTCTCTGAGGAAACAGGGATTTCAGAGATGGTCCATAAAAATTATAGGACATTTTTCTTTACTGTGGGGTCTAGATTCAGGCAAGTTTCTAACATTTACTACTGCAATCAAAAGTTTATTTTAGATTGGGAGTAAATTTTGGAAACTGAAAATATCTTGTTTGGGAAATGTTCATTTCAAAAGTAAGCTTTTTGTTAGGTCTCTCTCTTTTTTTAAAATAAATTTAGTATTAATTTACTTTCAGTTATCTTAAATGTATCTAATTGATACATGCATTTGGTCTATCAGATTTTCTTATAATTTTGTGAGAGAAAAATATAAAGTGATAGGGTGTCTGAAAAATTTTTGTCATAAACGTGTTATATCTTCAGAGGACTTGAAGCCTTTAAAAAGCTTTCTCTTAGAGATTTATCTTTTCACACTTTAGATGCATTTGCCTTTTCTAAAGCTAGGTATCAAGACAAAGAGGTTCTGCTGAACATGCAATATCCAGTCTGTCATGGGAAGCTTTGCTGCCATTTCTGTGAAATCTCCTTTTTGGATATGATCCATCCTAGAATAGAAAAAAAACAAAACAAAAAAAAAACAAAAAACTTACAACCTGAATACAACCTGCAGCGAAGTGTCATTGCATGACTTCAGAATTACTTATAAGTCTCATCAGAGTCATCCCTGTTGCTATATAAATATAATGAATTTTTCTAGAAGTAAAAAAGTATAAGTAATAAAAAAATCCATTATAATGAATTTTGTAAAGGTAAGAAAATGGAAAATATGCTTTAGGCCTTAAACATGAACAGATTCATAACTCTAGATGGAGATAATATTATTTCTTTAAATACTGGCTGTCATTGATATGAGCTGCAGATATATGGGCTAAAGGACCATATCCAACTTTAATAATACATGGATAGTCATCTGTGCTGAAAACTTCAAAATAAAGTGCTTGGAGCTTAACAGTTTATGATATGTGACCATCTCTTCCCAAAGCAAATAACGGAACAAAACATTAACGAAACCTTGCATATTTCTCTTTTTAGATGTTTCAAGTACAGCCATAAATTGTAATTATTTCTTAAAATGTTTTAGAAACAAAACATCTAAATACTCATTACCAGAGGCTGAAATATTTCTCTCAGCTCTCAATTTGGATTTTGGTTCAATTTGTAAGCTGTGGTAGATAGAAAAAGTCTTTACAAAACAAAAAGCCTTCATATACAGATTGTGAGAGGACTTAGGATATGAATTATGACAATGAAAGCAAAATTAATGTTTAATAAAATGATGATAGAGAACATAAAACAAAAATGCAAGATAAATACCAGATACAGAATATAACTGATGCTCTGATTTTCTTATGCAAGAAATACTCCTTATTATATTAACAGATAATATATTTGTCATTGTTCAGAGGTATTAAAAGGAATTTTCATGTAGTTGAACCCTACATCATTAAATTATTTATTCCTAGTCTGTTTAAATAATTAGTAAAATATTTCTAACTCTGTTGCTCCATCAGTTTTATATCATGCTAACAGAACACAGCTGTAGAGTCCAAAGAATGCAGGATGAATATATCTACAATTAGACATATGAACACGGAATGAATGTAACGCCTCAGACTCCCTAATAACACGAACACCCAACCCTTCTAACATAGACTGCCCTGGGATGGAATCAACAAAGATAACACGAGATCAAATTCATCACTGAGGATGGAATTCTTCCTCAAATAGTATCTGCATACAGAACAGTGCACATTAGACATATTAAATGCCTGGGTTAGGAGATGGGGAGAACAATCTTGAACAATCTATGAGAGAGAAATTAGAATTATCTTGCACAAAGTGGGATGTGATTTAAATTTGAAGACCGTAACAAGTGTAGTGTAATATGAGTGGTGAGAGAATTTTAGAATAGGCCATTAAGAATAGACATGTGTGAACAGCTCTGGCATATCATTAATGTGAACTCTCTGCACTTTCATTTGGATTGTCAGAAAGAGAAGCAAGCAATCTAATTGAAGTGGAAGTAGTGCCAAGTATGAAAGATGGCATGGGAGGGTAAAGTATTAAAGAAAGATTCTCACTTGTGAGAGAAAGTCAGTGGACATAGGAGTAATAGCAAAGAGGTTGATCTCATTTTTATTATATTATAGAATTATATGTAAAACCAGTCACAAGGTTGATAAGAAACCAGACTCTATGGAAAGATAGATTGATGCCCAAATTTTAGTAGAAGCCTTAGTAAAAACATGAATATCTAATGCCTATTGTATATAACATTGATTTTTTTTTTTGTTTTTTGTTTTTTTTTTTTTAGGGTCTGGGATACACGTGTAGAATGTGCTGGTTTGTTACATAGGTATGCATGTGCCGTGGTGGTTTGCTGCACCTATCAACCCATCATCTAGGTTTTATGCCCGCATGCATTAGGTATTTGTCCCAATGCTCTCCCTCCCCTTGTCCCCCATTCCCTGACAGTGTGTGATATTCTCTTACCTGTTTCCACGTGTTCCTGTTGTATAACATTGATTTTTGTCTGCTATAAAGATCACTTTGATCTGTTTTTCATGCCAGTAGGGATGCAACTTATACTAGGCTAGTTTTATCTAAAGAAAAAATAGATTACGATATTTTTATATAAACCTCTAATAATTTGAAAATTAAATTTTATTGCAAATATTAACAACACATTCACTTTGTTGATTCATTTTAGTCAATTAAAATAAAGAATGTAATTGCATGCAGGGGGGTATGAAATGCAATTTACAAATCCAGTTGATGAATGTCCCCCTAATTTGTACTATATTTTTAGTGCTGATAATCTTTTATCTCATAAAAATCTCAGTTTTGAACTTGTTGAGACTCTTCTAAGATTTGAAATTTTGCTAGACATCTTTAAATTGTCTTCTTTAAAAGGCTATTGATAGATTCAGAGTAATCTTATTAATTCTAAACTATCAGTTTTCCTACATTATTGTCATAATTTTCTTTGACATGCCTTAAAAAATGTTTTTAAAAAGTCAACACTACTCCTGAATTTTACATTCCCAAAGGCAAAATTAAATCATGTTTCAATTGGACTACAATGGGTAATGACTATGTAGTTTGTGGTTTTCAGAAGTTGGGATATATATTATATGAATAGTGATGGCATAGAAAATAGAACCAATGTTTATTTAAGTATAGTGAAGACTTTTCTGTGATATTCTTTAAAAGCAGTATTTCCTTTGCTTGTTTTCTTTATCTTTGAGTATCTCCAGACCTCTTCAGTACTAAGGCTGCTAATTAACTGTCAATATAACACACTCTTTTCTCTCCTTGTAGTCAGATCACAGTGTGACAGCTAAATTCTCAAATATAATGACTTAATATGTGTTAAAATAGCATTTGAAAATAGGTAACGAAGAAAAACTTCATAGTACTGTGATGTTTTTATTTTAATAAAATGTTTAATATCAGATAAAGTATCATAATACTTGCATACAAGGCTATTTAACTAATATTAGAGTTGATATTTAATGTTAGGGATATAGAAGAATTGAAACAATAATTTGGGTCAGTAATTTCACTTTGAAAAATTTGAATAAAGAAAATTTGAATAAACTCACTTGCAAAATGTTATGTCATCAAGTATGTGCAGAATATATAGATTCAAGTCTATCTACTATTTTCAATCTTTACTGCAATGGTATTCTAATTTAATGCACTATTAACACCAAAGTAACATCCAAATTCCAGCCACAACCATTTTAAACCCCTATTTATTTCTACATAAAGGATACATTTTAATGTTGATTTATCATCACTTTAAAACTCGACATGCATACAGAAACACATGCAAATAGGTGTGGAAGAGAATCAAAATTTGAAAATAAACAAAAAATGTAACAAATTTTTCCTCCTCTTCAATAAATACTATTGCTAGACTCTGAGAAAATATTATTGAAGGAATACTAAATTTGGATGATAAGTAATGAACTTTAAGCATTGAATTTGAAGTCTAGATAAAAACTCAAGTAAAAATGATCATTAGTTTGTTAGGTTCAATTGATTAGGGATCAATATGGGATCTAGGCTGGAAATAGATACTTGGGGGTATGAAAGTACAAAATGGTAAAAACAAAAGGGCACATGAAATTCCCTGCTGATATGTTGAGAGAAAGAAATAGATCAAAAACAGATTCTTGGGAGACATTAATCTAATTTAGGAATAGATTAAGAAAAAGAAGCCAACAATGGGAACTAAGAAAGAAACACAGTGACCTTTTCCCTTTCCATTTCTTTAGCCACACATAAAATCAACCACCAGATGTGGCTTTTTCTTTCTGGTATCCTTCACATATAATTTATCTTTTCAGGAACTACTCATATCTGTAGCTTTATATACATGATCTAATCACAGATCTCTCCTTCATTCAGGATAGCTCCTTTTTATTCCTTCAATCCCAAACTGCACTTCATGTTTATTTCCTGCCTTTTCTTGAAGAACATATACTTTTATTATATCCTACATACACTATTCTATATAAGTTCCATCATATAAAGCAGAATTTATGGTCATCACTAAAAGGAGAAATTGGCAACAATTAAAAAAAGAACACTACCAAGTTTTATTGAAAGTTATATTGATTTTTCTAATCATCAGTGATGTTGAGCTTTTTTTCATATTTACTCACCACATGAATGTCTTCTTCTGAGAAATGTCTGTTCATGTCCTTTGACTACTTTTATTAAGGTTGTTTGATTTTTTTTTTTTGTAAATTTTTGTAAGTCCTTTGTAGACTTTGCCAGATGGACAGATTGAAAAAAAATTTCTCTATTCTGTAGGTTTGTCTGTTCACTCTGATGACAGTTTTTTTGTGTGTGTATATGTGTGTGTGCTGTGCAGATGCTTTTCAGTTTAATTAGATCAAATTTGTCAATTTTTGCTTTTGTTACAATTGCTTTTGGCATTTTTGTTATAAAATCTTTGCTCATGCCTACGTCTTGAACAGTATTATCTAGATTTTCTTCTAGGCATTTTACAGTTTAGGGTTTTATATATAAGTGTTAATCCATGTACAGTTAATTTTTGTATAAGGTGTAAGAAAGGAGTCCAGTTTAAATTTTCTGCATTTGGCTAGCAGATACAAATTTTTTAGTTACTGTAGTCTTGCAGTGTAGTTTGAAGTCTGGTAGCGTGATGCTTCCAGCTTTGTTCTTTTTGCTTAGAATTGTCTTGGCTATTCAGGCTCTTTTGGTTTCATATGAATTTTAAAGTATATATTTTTTCCAATTTGGTGAAAGATGCCAATGGTAGTTTTAGTAGGAATAGCATTGAATCTATAAATTACTTTGGGCAGTATGACCAATTTTCATGACATTGGTGAGATTTCATCTCACATTAGTCAGAATGGTGATTATTAAAAAGTAACGAAACAATAGAAGCTGACAAGATTTCAGAGAAAAAGGAATGCTTTTACACTGTTAATGAGAGTGTAAATTATCCATTGCAGAAGACAGTGTGGTATCAATTCCTCAAAATCTAAAAGCAAAAATACCAGTTGACTCAGCAATTTTATTACTGGATATATACTCAAAGGAATATAAATCATTCT